AATAAGTGAAAGATTAAATAATGAATGGTGGAAAGACATATTTGGAGTGCTAAGGCAAAAGTCCAAATCAAACTTGACTTTTCTCAGGAATTTCAGGGAATAGAGCTGCCAAAGAAATGTAGGCTGGGAAAACAAACAAGGAAGAGAGAAGCCAGCAAGGCAACCGACTTGTTGAAAAGATGGACAGATGAAGGTGTTACAGCTGCTTTTAGCTGATAGTGAGATTGTGAAATGAAATGACATTTAAGTAGTCTATAAAAAATGGTGGTGGCATCACGCACAGCAGTTCTTAGGAAGGAAATGCCTCGTGCTGAATTTGGTTGCATAGCAGGAAAAGGAACTTTCTTCACCATTTCAGACCTTTAACACAGCTCCCTTTAGTTTCAGGTAGATGTCACAGTTTCAGTCCTATTTAGAGGGTTATATATGTAGGGTGTGACACAAGTGAACAACCCAGATGTTAATGAGCAGTCTGCCCAGCACCATTTGTGAGACAAGAGGCTCGTCCTGCTGTAATACCAAATCAGACAGGGTGGTAAATCCTAATTTGTTGCTGTTGCAATGCCCCAAGGATCTCCTGGCAGCTGTCTCCATGTGTTTTTTGTTTTCTTTCTGTCTCTTTTATTACAGATATTGTTATACAAGAGAAGAGGAGCTTAAGTAGGATGCTGGAAAATAATTACTGTATTTGACTTTCAAGAATCAGTGTGTTTGTGGCCACTGTGTAGAGCTTTAAAATTGTTTTACGGGCCTCTTCAGTGCCCTGCGACATCTGGCTCGGTCAGTTTAATTGCCGTTGTTGCTGCTGACACTTGTTATTTCTTGCCAGGGGAAACGAGTACATTTCTTTTTCTGTTTGGTCATTTTTTCTGGATTTCTTTTAAACATCTCTTAAAATAGCTATCACAGCTGTCTTGCACTGACTGTAACATCTACATTGCTAATGTTAACACAGCTGGGTTTTGCCAGTTCATGACTAAAATGGTCCTGTAACCCATGTAAATGATGACTGTTTACCCCAGTCTGGTTTTATACATTCCATCAATTGCACTGCCTAATTGTGGCTTATTCCTCATCATCTCCACCGTAGGACGTTCCCAATCCGAGGTTTTCAGATCTACGATGGCCCAGTGCGGCTTACACAGAGCACATTTCGTGGCTTTGCCCCCTTAAGCGAAACAAATAAACGCACAACAACCACACCAGAACGAACTACGCCAGAAAACACCACGCGTCATACCAGTGCAGTGGGATTCAACTTGAAGAACACCTGGCAGCTCACCCCTCGAAACAACCTGTCTCAGCTCAGCTTCCACTCCACAGTAAGTAAGGCTCAGTGAGACTCGAACATTGAAGCTTTTATTCTTTTTTGTAAATGTGGTGCACTGTCCCAGTGTTGTATTTCCAAAGGGAATGTGTAATATTTGAGCAGTGTTTGAACCTGTTCAGAGACTTTGCTTTCAGTCCAGGTCAGCAGGGATATATCTGTTTATTCAGGCAGTAGATGTGAATATTTCTTCTCTGACCCGATTCATTCCCTTGTCCTTCCTTTATTTCTACCTAAAACCAGTGCACCATACTTTATGCCCACTTTCTCTTTTGTGCTTTGCTCCTATTTGTTATTTACCCCTACAACTATCTTTTAATAGACTGATTAAAAAAAGTAAAGGAAAACTTCTGAAGCAGAGTATAGCATCAAGCCACTTAAACGTCTAGGATATTGAGCCGGTCACTTAAGTAGCACGAGGGTTTTTTCAGCTAACACCAAAACATTTTCAGCTGCTTTGGTGTTAATGAAATTAGCAGCAAGTGCACTAGAGGTGCAACAATGAAACATCTGCCAACACAGGAATGGTTTTACAGGTCAAAGACACTGCCATTTTTCCTTTATCTTTCTGACTGTTCTTTCACTAGTTTGCATTTGGGTGAGGTTGTTGTCAATACTGGTGGCATTAGGTGATACCTGGACCCTACAGAGGTCTCCCATCAGAGTCTTACGAGCCTGGGGGAGATTCCAGGAGACAGGCAGTTACTCTAGGATAGCTGGTCAGGGCCGTAGAAGGTCTTTAACCCATCAGTACGACTGGTTTCTACTCATTAGTTCAAGGAGGAACAGGATGAGAACTGCCAGATCCATACAAAATAATCTCCAGCGGGCCAATGGTGTGAATGCCTTTGACCAAACCATAAGAAATAGCCTTCATGGGGTTAACATGAGGGCCAGACTCCCCCTAGTTTGCCGTGTGCTCACAGCCCTGCACTGTAGAGATTGACTGGCATTTGCCATAGAATACCAGGATTGTCAGGTCCACCACTTGGGCCTGTGCTTTTCACAGATGAGAGCAGATTCACCCTGAGCACAATTGGAGGGGACACACAGGCTGAACAACGGCACTCTAACTGCCATTAGGTATTAGAATAAAATCCCTGGACTCATTGTCAGACCCTATGCTGGTGCAGTGAGTCTTGGGTTCCTCCTGGTGCACAACAATTCCCGACCTCATGTGGTAATAGTGTGCAGGCGGTTCTTGAAGGATGAAGGAGCTGAAACCATTGACTGATTCCCATGCTCGCCTCGCTAAAATTCCAGGAGCTCAGTGATGCCCTGGTCCAAATTTGGGAGGAGATCCCCCAGGACACCATCAGTGTTCTCATTAGGAGCATGCCCAAACTTTCTCAGGCATGCAGCCAAGCATCTGGGGACCATATGAATTACTGAGTACCCTTTTGAGTTGCAGCAGTTAAAATGGACTAGCCTGCTACATGATTTTTTTTTCAATTAGATTTTTAGGATGTATTTTCAATTTTCATTTCCATCAAACTTTCCTTTAGTTCCTAACACATTACCCAGTCTATATCAGCATTGATATCCAGCATGAAGATTTTTACCCTTTAGATCTGATATGTTTTCAAAGAGTTTGTTTAACTTGTTAGTGTGTTTGGGTCAGAGGCCTGGCAGAAACAGAATCGGGAGTCGTTTCAGGCAGACAGAACACAGAAGAATAAAGGAGCCATCTTTCAGAATCAGGCCTGTGCAGAAACTGTTGTAAATCACTGGCGCCCTCTTGTGGGATCATTGTACAGTGCAGTGTTTTTTATCCAAAGGAGACCTCTAATAGGCTAATTTGTCAAGTAGGCTGATTGGTGATTTCAGTTTGGCACATAAACTATGAAAGATGCACAGCCAAGAAACCAAAAAAATAGAATGCAGGTATATTACCTGTCCTTATGCAGTGCATAGACAGATCTCGATTTTAAAAAAAAGTAAGTGAGCTGTCCCAGGAAGATGGAGAAGAACATGATGGAAAAAATGGAAAGTTAAGCAGATACCTGGTTAACTTAGATTAAAAATCACCTCTCAGTAAGTAACACAAATAAACTCCTCAGGTGCATCTTCGGGCATTCTTTGGACAACCTGGAGAGTGGTTTGATGAAAACAACCTCGACGGTGACAAAACCTCCATCTTTCACGATCTGGACGGCTCAGTGACAGGCTACAGTGACACCTACGTTGGCCGAGCAGACAACTACCTTATCCAACATCCTGGCTGTGTGAAAAACCTGAAGTGGAATGGAGTGATATGCAGCGGCCGCTACTCTCAGGTACAGCGCACTCGGGTCTGCACCTCAGTATTGTTCTGTCCTTCTGATGTAAAAGTGATTGTTACGTTCCACAACATCCTCCTCTCTTCTAGGTGTACATCCAGACCCAAGGAGCCCCTAGCCTGAGTTTATCCATCAGCAGAGATGAATACCCTAATTCTCCTCTGTTACTGAGGGGGATTAACAGCCAGGGGGCGTCGTCCCAGCAGTACCAGCCCATCCTGATGATGAGCAAGAGCTACACTCTGCACTGGAGTGGGCCTGCGCCCAGAGAAATGGTCCTCTCTCTCATTAACTTTGATAAGTGAGTAATAAGAATGACTGTGTGTGTTCGCCTCTTCAGCCACTGCTAGTCCAAGTCTTGAAATATCTGTAATGTCCTAAAGTGAGGATGCAACACACTGCATCGACTGATTGTACTGATGTTTTCAACAACTTTCAAACTGCTCTTTCATTCACTCAGGGATGACTGGGTGCTGGTGGGACTCTGTTATCCGTCAGACACCACTTTTCAGATTATGTCCGACACATACGACAGGCAAAGTAACACGTTTGATGACATCACAGACTACGGCACCGTGTTATCCTTCCCAGAGCTGCAGAAAAAGACAATGGAGAGGAAGTACTACTTTGACCAGACTGCTGGGTGAGATGAAAGATTGTTTTTCCTTTTCCTTGTTTGAACTCGCAGTTGAAAATACTGCAATGTGACGACTGTAGGAGATTTGGTTTTTAATAAAAAATGAGATAAATTTTATTTCAATTGTGTTTTGCTTTTTTTGTTTTTTTTAAATCCCTCAGTGACTCTACTGAGCTTCTAAAAGTTTATTGTGCTCATCATCCCCAGCTTATTGTGGCTCTACCTTCGGGCCCGGCATGGTCGTGATGGTCACAGCTACTGTTCTGTTAAAGGCTGTGAAAGAGTGAAGATCACAGCCACTACATCCTCCAAAGAGACCTGTAACTGTACAGCCAAAGCTTACCCCAAGTACGCCAAGGCTCCCTCAGTCGTGGTGCCTATGCCGGCTCTAAACACGCAGCCCTGCAGAGACTGCGGTGCTAAACAGGTTTGTTAACATTTAAAGTGACCTCTTCATTTGGTCAATTAAATCCAAAGCTACTACCGCTGATCGACATGCGTCTGTCTCAGCTTGTGTTTTCCAGTGAGCCATGGACCTCCTACCTCCAGACTCAAGTGAAGTCTCTCAGCATTAAAGAGCAGCAGCGAGGAGACAACGTCTCCTTTATCACTGTAAGCAAAACTGCCAGGCAGATAAAAATGCATCCAAACACTTTATCTTCATGTTTTAAACTTCAGATTTAAAACAGGGTTTATTTAATCCAATTTCTTTGCTGTAATTCCCCAAGGTGAATGAGATCACCATGTCCTTCTCACAGCCGGGGTTTTTCCTGGTCTCAGTGGATGCCTGCTCTGGAAAAGTCACCAAGAAAACCTCATTTAGTAAAGTGGATAAAAAGATGGAAACTGACATACCAAACAGGTGAGGCAGGGCAAAACTGATAAATAAATACATACACAAAACAAATAAAGTTCGTAAATATGAACAATAAACAGAAAATTCCCATAAAAATAAAAGTTGACAGGAAATCAAACATATCGCTGGGATTCAGACAGGGATTATTCACACCGGAGACACTTGTGTAACTAGATTTCATCAAAATAAAATAAAAAAAATCTTGAAACAATTATTTTAAAAATTACAGAATAAACTGCACAATCTAAATTGCTCCTCATAGCTATCCCCAAAGTTTGCCCCTTTGACAGACATACATCACTCTTTTAATGACTTATTTGAACCTTTTTCTCTGAGTTCAGACTTCATCTCTAACTTCAAACAACTGAATATGCAGTTTGTAGTGCAGTGTTAATAAAAGACTATGAAAATAAACGGTAACATTTTAAGCAGTGTAGTTTAATAAATGGTCTGTTGTTTTGTTTAGTTCATTATAATCCAGTCCATTTATTATTCAGCTTTCTGTTGCAGTGTAAATAAACTGAATTAGCTTTTGTATGTTTTCCCCCAAACATCACACAGCAGGTAATTCATAGAACTATTAGGGAACAATAGTGTTTTTGATTTAAGATATTTGAACTTTTATATAAAATGATGTAGTTCTAGACGTGTTTTTTATGAGCTTGCCAACATAACTCATGGTCAATATTCAGACATTTTTAATTTTAGTTTCTATTGTGACATTGTTCGTCATCATATTGACTTCATTATTTATTTGACCGTCACTAAATATTATATATTCTATTTTTTCATTTGGTGATAAATTACTAAGATCAAAGCATTTTTTGTAAAATGTTTTTTCTCTGTATTCAGGGCGTGTTTAAACTTTGGAAAAATCAATATCAATTAGTGTCATCAGCAAGTAAAATGTATTTTAATAATTCCTTGTGTGGGTTAACGTGGTTTTCCTTTTTTCTTTTTTTTGGATGACACTATAATATGTCTTCTGGCTGTAGAGTGGCTTTATTAGAAGTATTTATTTCCTCCAGGTCAATAGTCCTCGTGGCAACGCGGGGACAGTCGGGGGAGCTGGTCAATATCGCACCACATCTGGTCTCTCTTGGTGTGGCCAAAGATCCTGATCTGCATAGTAAAGGTTAGTACTACTTTAGTTTGTCTGTCTATCTGTATTTTAGATGTCTTTTACATGCCTTTTCCCCCCCTCCTTTTATCGCAGAGAGTCTGGCACTTTGGGGCTTCCGAGGGAGTTCCTCACCTCCTTTTTGGGTTTCACTACTGGCTGGACAAGGCGATGACGTCTTAGGGCTGCAGGAGCGCTACTTGCCTCTGGGCTTGGAGATGTATGGCTGTCCGCGACCTGCAACTCAAAAACGCAAAGACCTAGAGCTTCTGAGAAAAGCCACAGGACAACAATAACCAATGTGAACTGTACATGTTACCTAGCCGTAATGCTGTTGCACACAGATACACAAACACACAGCCATTTGATGAATGTGAACTGCTGAACCTTTAATTTATTAACGATGACAAAGATGTTTACTGCTTTCAAGAGGAATGAAAGTGGGGTTTTTTATGAATCGAATGAATTTTTTTGTGTATGTAAGCGTGTGTATGTATGTGTCAGTATGCCTTTGGGCCATGAAGTCAATGCACTTTCCTCTTTATATACACACAACCTGCCTTACTAGCCAGAGTGACGTAATGGAGCTTTACAGTAACAAAGGAGAAGAAACAAACCCAAAGTAATCCTGCAAGATCTACCTACCTGTCCTATTTATTGTGCAGTAATTGATTCTGAACACAGAACCCAATTCATTGCATACACAGATCAAAATTTAATTATGAGGATAAATGACTTTGATTTGACGTGAAAGCGAAATAAGATGGATTTGATGTGCTCAGGTCAAAGGAAGTGATAAAAACAAATGTCATTGCCTCTGAGATGTGAATGGCAGTATTAAGCCAAAAACCGTTGTTAATGTGGTTTAGTCGCATTGGTGATTAATACTGCAAATCTCCTTTAAAACATAACCATAACAAGCCATATTCTATCGAAATAATCATGTAGATGCATAATAATAATGTGTGTAAAATTAATCTGACGGTTTTTGGCCTTTCTTGTGTACAAAAAACCCTTAAAAATAACGACTTCTGTGCAGGTGACTCCTTTTATATTTGACACGTTGCAATAGATTCTCTTTAAACTGGAAAACCTCTGAATCGCGTGCAGCTCTACATCTGAGATCTTTAAGCACCTTTTTATGGATTTCTTTACACACTTACTTTTTTTTCCCTCCTCATGTTTGTATTTGTCTTTTCACAGTGATGGTGTGGCAAGTGTTGGCCACAAATACCTTTCCTCTACTTTTTTTTGTCTTCGCAAACAGAAATGAATGTTTTACCTTTCATCTGCCTCATTCATGTGCATTATTGCCAAAACAGTATAGTAACATATAACTCTAGGTTGCCGTTTCCTTTTTGTTTTTCTTTCTTAGTTTGTATCCGTGCTGTACAGCAGTGACAGTAAAAGTATCATATTTTAGCTGTAAAGGTTACACGGCTTTATTTTGAGGCTATTTTAATCTTTACCGTGAGCAGGGCTCCCCCACTGAGCGATGATGAGTAGTTGTGACTGTGTGAGTAAATGTCTGATCATGTTAGGTGAAGGGATGACCTCGCTGCCTTTTAACCACTCTACTGTTAAAAAGAGCAAAAGACCGAGAAATGGGTTGAGTCCCTTTGCCTTTTCCTTAAGTTGAAGATTCATCGATGCACAAGTGAGTTGTTTGTTTTTGTTTTTCTTCTTAAGATTAGGGGTGAACTTTGTAAATAAGAAATTGAACTGTACATGTAATGGAAAGTAGACTCCCATTAATGTGTGTATTTTATTTGTTTTTGTTTCTTATTAATTGATAAATGATTTGGAAAAAACATCTTTCCTGCAATTTGTCATGAAATTGCAAAACAAATAAAGTTGTTTTGTTTTATGATAAAGTCACATGTTGGTTGTTTCAGTAGTTAACGGATGGCCTCTCTCTTGTTGCTCTGTGGTCCAGGACTTTGCATCTGTTATACAGCGTCACCACTTGGGGGTAGCCTAGTGTTATTTGTTTGTCTCTCTTTGTTTTTATTTTTAGGACTTTAGGATTCTCGCCTTTAACTCTACATTTTTGACATTCAGTATGCTGAAAATAAGTTTGAAATTACAAACTCTTTTTCCAGGAATAATATTTTACTTACTTTTTAAATACAGTAGCTTTTAATATACTTAAAGAATCCCCAATCATCTGTAGCCTGAAAGTTACCACGTCAGAGGAACGCTGTCGGTTTTAATGAGCCTCAGGAGATCCCGCACTCTTAGATGTACAGTAAAAGCACATAGCATGATGAAGCAAAGCAGCTGCTTTTACTGATGTACATTATGCATGAGAACATTATGAATTGGACATCCGTGAGAAGTAGCTTTGGTAGAGCAGAAGAGGGGGAAACAGCAACCCATGTAGCTGTTAAACTTTATGGATTCGGTGCGCTTGCATTGTGATATCCCAGCGATTGTTTCTGTGTGCACTCGTTATGAAAAGATAACCATCAGAAAACTTAACAGCCTAAAGAAATATGGATCAGTCCCAACAGAGCGCAGCCCCACCATATGGCTCGGATAGTGAGTTTGCTTGTCCATAAAATGGTCTCTGACCGTGAAGTGCTCCCACACACTTCACACTGATTTGAAAACGAGCGAGGACAGAGTGGCACAGTTTGCAGGCAAACTGCTGCACATTAGGACAGCAGCTCTCTTTAACACCCAGGCATCTGCTATAAGAAGGAAAAAATAATCGCTGGTGGAATAAAAGCTGCATCTTTCTCAGTGTTTCTCACTGGCTCTCTCTGTCCTTGGTTCGTCTGGATACATTCAAACTTTCTGACACTGATTGTAAGCGCAGGCGAGCAAAATATTTCCATCAAATGTGCGATCTGTGAACATATTTCATAAGCTTTGTTTGAGGTGATAGTTGTGCCCTTTTTTGTTCCAGTGTTGCATGAATGAATTGCACATTCCTTAAAGCTGAGTTTTAATTATGTAATAGGGAAGCCTTTGAACTGTGCAAATACATTTAGAGAAAAAAAAGCCAAGGCTAAAAATATGTCGCTAAAGACTTGTGTGTACTGGAGTGTGGGCGGCAGCCTTTAGTGTTGTACTGTACATTGTTTGCATGAGAATTGTATATCCATGGCAACACATACACATACATATAAAATTAGTTTCAAATACAACTAAATATCTGTTTGTGTTTTTGAGTGCTATGTTCAAAACGTCGAATAATAAATGCAAAAGGAAAAATTCAATTAAAGGAGTAAAAAGAAACAAACCTACTTTAGAAGATGGGGAATGCAGGTTCATTAAAGCTGAAACTGAAATGGATAAAAATTAATTCCATTTTTAGGGCGACTGTGTGGTTGTGATGAAATTCCTGATGTTAGACGCCTTTTTTTAACAGCACTGGCATAAAGATGAAGTAATAACTTCATGTCAACATTTCTCCACATTTCATCATGTGGTTTTTAAGCTGACCACTATTTAAAGTAAGGTCCACAATTTATCAGACAAAGACATTTGTTGTTGTGTTAATAAGACTTAATTATTACTTAATACTTGTTGTATTAAAGCTTTAATTCAGCATGAACTGTTTGGGAATTACAGCGATTTCTATGCACTGTTTCAGAGGCTCAACATTAATTTGACAAACTAACCTAAATTTAAGAGCTTAAAGAGAAGGATTGCATGAAACACTTGATGATGTGTAATGCTTCAGCTCACGAGCAGTGCAGAACCGTGCACACCTTGCCAGAAATCGTAAAATTACTACTGTGTTATTCAATCATCATATTTCATGATTAGGTAGAAAGCTAGCATTAACTGGCTTTGCTTTATATTGCTTTGGAAATGACAGTTTATTGCTGTGCCATAAAATGAGTATTCACACACACTGTGAGCTTCTGGTATAACATTTTACAAAGTATGCACTTTCTGCATTTAGATTTGTATCCAGACAGAAATTATTTTTAGTGGAGGTATAGAGAATCATAGGAGTACCAAAAAGTTTACTGAAGAGTAAGAAAATAAACTTTTGTTGTCTGATTCCCAGAGATTCAGACAAAGCCACAAGTGTCTGAAAGATGAATTACAAGGTTTCCTGCCCTGCATCTGTGCAGTGATATACTGCTTTCATGGTAATACTGAGACTGTTGTAAAACACCCTTTGCATTGAAAGCAGACTCATTGTTTATTTAATTTCCAGGGTTACAGTACAGAGCATACTGAAACCGCAATATTTCCCTAAACCTTTAATGAGTAGTTTTTAATACCTAAACCTAACCAGGTATTTTATTTATTTATCAACCATCTAGCAAAGTGAAATCTAAAAGTTAAAAGTGAGTCAAAAGAAAACCGAAGTGCAAAACACGTAGTCGCCAAATGGTACACAAAACTTTGCTCTCCCGGCTGACAAACGTGTCACTTAGTCCTCTGCCTCTACTTATCGGTGTCCAGTACTTTCATCAAGGCATTATTACCAAAAGACACTTCTGTGTCTCTGTGACATCAGTGGAACCTGACAGGATGTCAGCATTTGACACACTGTCTCAGCAAATCTATAATCAAATCGATCAATTCAGCTTGAAATCTAACATGACTCCTCTTTTTCGAAAGGACTGCTTCCACGCACACAATTGCATGGAAACAATTTGTGTGTGCAGAGACCACATTAGGCTCCCTGAGTTCACACTGGAGACTTACAGCAACAGTATTGTGTATTCGAGGTAAGTTTATTTGGATTCCCCAACTACCGCACGGCATCATTTTTCAGCCTCACCATTCAGTCGTTTCAGCGGTACCCTGCTGATGCTCGGTGATGGCGGTCCTGAATAATTAAACAATTCTGACATCCATGTAGGGGTCCGTTTCCATGACAACCATTCTCCCCTTGTCCTCGCAGCCCTGAAGAGTAATGTAAATCTCCTGTCTGCTTAATGTCACAGTAACACCAGCAAAGTGCCACAGAAAGACACACAGGTTGGGATCAATGGGAGCTTTTGATGACATGTTTGGCCTTGGTTTGCTCTCCGCTTACACAGGCAAGTCGTGGTGGACAACTTGTGATGACACGAGGCCTGCCATAGAAGTAATGCTGGCTTTCAGGTGCCAGGTGACACCAGATGAAGCGTAATGATAGACCACACGGGGCACAGAACACCGAACTGTAGTAATCCAGGCAGCATAGAAACTTCGGTATGTACTGATTAATCCAAGCGGAGGTGGGAAGCATCGCTTTAAGGTCACAGAGTGAATATTTTAATGATGCCTGTAATCTTCTCTGACAGTATGTTGACACATCCACGCTTCTGAGGGCGATGCTCTCGCTATCTCGACACACAAAGTCCCCTGGTTTTCCCCGCCACACACACAACACCACTCAGACATAGGCAATTACCCTTTAACATCAAATGGTTCATCAGTTCCCAGGACCATTAGACAGTGAATTAACCTTATCTACCTGCAGATGAAGAGGCATGGGTATGACAGTTATACCCTTGTCCCAGTCTGAGCTATTGCAAGAAAAATATGCCGTGTACTTTCCACGCAGCAGGACACAGGCTAATCACGCACTGAGAAATGCAATAAAAAAAGGATTATGATGCAGTTATTCATTGTCAAGAGTGCTTATTCTGTATTTTAATCATTCACTCAGCTAATATGTGACTCTTTGTTGGGGATACAAACCAGGCCGTGAGATGACTAAATGCTAAAACTCAGCATGGGGTTTTTAAAGCCAAACTTCCTAATGCTGACTGTTGCTGTGTGTTACCTCAGAAAAAGAAAACCCTCTATGTTTGTAACAAAGATTAGAAGATGCTTTAATTTGATTAAATGTAACTTTTAAATGTAACTTTTATTTAACTATTAAAGAACATTGTGGAAACTGTCAAGTCTCAAACACTGTGCTTTGTACTGAATTAGTTTTGTGCCTTTGCTGAGAGCAACTATGATGCCAAAACTGTTTGGCACATCATCACAAAAGGATGATCATGGCTTTAGAAGTCACTCACTAATTCGTCCTGTGCAACTGGTCTGTTGAAGACACAAAGTGTACCAAGCCAAGATAATCACTTGTCTTGGTAGCTTACCAACTCTTGGTATGCTTTGACTGGCCAAACATTAAGTCTGTTGTTCCATGCTCACACAAATGGATCTAGAAATTGTGGGAGATGACAGGGTAAAGCTTAATTTATAGCACTGAGTTGAATATCTGTAGAGGCTATATGTAGGTTCTCAGTCATCCCGGTTACAGTGGTCTAAGGTGTTTGAATTAAATGCAACCTGACATATTTTAATGGTTCTAACCAGGGGCGATTTTAGCCCATTTTGGGGGGTGCTTCAGCACCCCCAAAATGAATCAAAGCACCCCCAAAGATTTCTTACTTTTTTTTGACAATATTTGCTGTTTGTGTGACACACTACTAAAAATATAAAAAGCATACAGTACTGTACTTGTTTGAGACGTAACATTTTAACAACAAAAGTATAGATAACCCCTCCTCCCAAAATGGTTTGTTCCAGCTCTCTCCTGCTCTGGCTCTAGCACTCTTGCTGCCAGAGCGATGGTGGCTGAGACACAACAGAGCGGAGGTGTAAGTGCCTGGCTTAAAACAGGACATATTAGCTGCATTTAACCTTCAGTTACTCTTTATATAGTTAGGTAGGAGTCAGACCATGTTTCTTTTAGCTGAAAAACATTACACCAGGTAACCTGCAGTGTTGAAAACGTGTTTTCCGACAATGTTTGCTACCCTACAATCCGTCCTGCTCTGTAGTAAATTCAGCGACATTTCACCGTCCTGTTCCTTCCATTGAAATGTATACAGCCTATTTAAAAATCTAAAACTTTAAATTTTCCGTAGCCTAAAGTTGTTACCACTGTCCTCTGCCTCTACTTATCGGTG